AAAGTGGCAGTAGGCAAGCTCTTGGATAAGGGCTGCAAACAGGTGATCATCACACTGGGAGCGTCAGGGGCTGTGTTTGCATCACAGGACAACTGCATACCAATTCATGTTTCAACAAAGACTGTGAAGCCAGTTGACTCAACAGTAAGTCCTGGCAGTATAATAATGTCCTGTCCTTAAAAATTCAGTTTGTACCTCAAAGAAAAGACAATACTTCTTCATTACAAAGACCAGCTGGACAATGTTGTTTGAGGAAATAATCACCGTTTACTTTCAGAACCACACTAAATCCATAAATACATTCTCTTCAAAAAATGCAAAGTTAATGTTTAAACCAAGTTGTACATACAGCTACCATTACTTAAAAATGCACAGAAAGTACTATGCTATATATTAACCTAATTTTGACTAAAATGTATTCACGAGGGTGAACGTAGGTTTGAGATGACTTCATTACCCTTTCGGTAAAATGCTTACATATACTGCATAAGACTAGGTTTGGTCACTGGCTGACATGATGGACTTTTTTTTCAAACCAGGATGGTTTCATGAAGTGTTATTTCATTAAAGGAAGCTTATGTTTTCTCTGGTTTCTGAACAGTGTAAAAGTTATGAGAATCAGTGGTAGGTGAGTGCCTCAGTTGTGTCATATTATGGACAAAAAATAATTAAATCAATAAGTAGTGAACAGGCATATCAGTCTGAGAAACATGTCTGGGATCACGTGTACATGGTGCTGTTTGTGGCGATTTAAATGTAGCGAGTACATAACAGACTGGGTTGTAATTTACTGACAATGGAAACAGATCTTAGCTTTGACTAAGTTCTAACTTGTGATGAGTCATGAATTTTACCCCTGCAATCCTGAACTTTGGTACCAATACAAGAACTCTGAGTGTAAGACTTTGTGAATTTGAACCAGGAGTGCAAACTGTTATGTGTAATGTTCGGTGAAGGTAATTATGGTTGGGGGTTGGTCGCAAGGCAAACAACCTTGCACCGTAAAAAGGAAGATGTTTCGAAACCTCAATCAAAGCCTCGGACAGACGGACCTAACAGGACCGAATGGAAGAGGAGAATTGAGGCCATGGAACGAATACAGACCGGAGAGCCATAGAAGAAGTAATATGCTATAAAGTTTCATGATGAAAACATAAATGATTGAGGGACATCAGCATTATCAGTCCCCTGCTGTATCTAATTATTTCAATTTGTTATGCATTATTATAGTGCACATTCTTATTACAGGGTGCTGGAGACATGTTCGTTGGTAGTCTGGCATTTTACCTGGCGTGCTATCCAGAGTTACCAATGAAGGAAATTGTGAAGCGATCATGTGAAATGGCAACAGTGTCAGTACAAAAACATGGCACACAGACAAGTTTTCCAACAAAAGATGACTTACCAGCCGAGTTGTTTATGAAATGCAGTTCATTTAAATAAAAGACTACAGTAGTACATCGTCACTGTCTTCAAATAAAAATTTCTGTTTTCTGGGATATACTACATACAAAGGCCAAATCTCCTAGACCTTTGGAATGTATCATCTATCCTCTTCCAAAAGGTTAGTGGTAGATTCATGTCAATCATATAACTGAAAACATACATACATTAAAACAACCAAGGAAAAAATATCTAAGAAGTCTTGAACTGATACTGATGTAACTGACTCCATGGTGAAGGGCTATCCTTGAAAGGATTATATCTGTTCAGCACGCCAAGAAACTCTTTGCATATATTATTTATCTTCCCATTCATTCCTCTTTCTTATGTTCACACATTTTAACTAAAATGCCTAGAATCACAAGTGTTATTCAAGAAAGGAATTGTAATTTCAAAAATCTGTCAGAGGGTGATTAAAAGTTCATGTTTTTCAGTTTCCTCATTCTGTAACACCCAGAAGGAAATTACATGCACAAAATCAAAACTGCTTATTGATATTAATATGGAGATGGCAAATTCTCAAATTATGCATCCAAAAATTTTTTGCAACCTATATCATAATGGTAAAAATGTACAAAAATCCTTTCATTTATATTCCTGTCTTTTTCTCGAATGGTTAACTGTAGTCTTTCCATAAATCTAATGCACTGTTGTGTCCCTGTTTTTCATACTTGATTCTTAAGTTTCCTGTTGAAATATGGATTACCAAGCAATAATGGCCTTACATAGGAAATCAACTATAATGGTAAGATTTACAAAGGAAAAGGAAAGTGTTGAGAATACTTTTGGGACTGCGTTATAAATGCAGGTGTACGTAGAAGTATTTTCCACCGGACCCGGTCCTGTGCCAACAAAATCCAGTCTCCTTCAACTCCTATCTCCCATAGATTCCGCCTGACATTATCCTCCCATCTACGTCTAGGTCTCCCCAGCGGTCTCTTCCTCTCAGGCTTCCCAACCAATACCCGGTGCACACCTCTTGTCCCATCCAGCACAAACTAATACAGCCCGTTCACCTCCTTGGGTATTCTGTAACCCAGATAGAAACATCGACAACTCGAAGCTAGGTGCTTTGCCCTGTATCGGCAGACACATGAACCAATGTAAAAGATAAGTGAACTGCCACGCCATATACAGGCAACTCTTGGTTTATGAACGCTCAATTTACGAACATTCGCTATAACGAACGTCACGATTCATTCAAAATTTCTTAAATTTGACAATAGATAGGTTTCCTTATAAAACGAAATGCCAAACGTATAGTGAACATAATTGTTAAGATTTAAATAAACTTTATAAATTACATGATAATTATACTGAACTGTTCTTTGAATTTAAAACTAGTGTAGCCAGTAAAAAAACGTTGGTCTACAAGCCATGCTGCGTAGAATGTTTTCTCGTGGGAAAGAAATCTGTGATTCCCGCTATTATAATACAATAGGATCATCACTTGCTTTGCCTATTTTGTCTTAGATGGCCAAGTATAGTTCTGCATTTGGTGACTTAGAAATATATTTTTAAAAATTTAAGCGATCATGGGTCCAAAGCAAAATAGTAGTGCTGGTACTGATAAACCATAACGTATACATACATTATAATAAAACGTATTGTATAGACCATTCGATGTTTAGTACATGGTTTTAATTCTTTAAAATGGCTGCTAATGTTTACGATACATATCATAGAAGCTCAGAAATGCAAGATATACATAACGAACAACTTCTTGGAATGGAACTCATTCGTAAACCGAGAGTTGCCTGTACGTGGAACTGTTCCAATAAGCACATTTATAGAATTGTTATATATTTAATATATTTAAGCAACTCACATGAAATAATGTTGATACTGCAACTCAACATGCAAATTAAAATTCAATTTTACATCTTAACTCCCACCAGTTTTAATACTAGACTGTCAGAAGATGAATATGACTGAACTATGTTAGTTAAGAGCAGTGGATGTGAGCACCGCTACTCCACGCTCATAGAAGCTATGCTGGTCCTGTCCTGGAGCAATGTTCAAGTCAACAGTGAAGAGGAGCTCTGTGCGAGTAGAGTTGAGGTACACAGGTAAGGACAGCTTGCCTTGGCGAGACAGCCAAGTATGTGAGTCTGTACCACTGGTATCCATCCTGCAAACAAGTAAGAAAATAAATATTATTGTAATATACATTTTAATATCAAAAATTCTAAACTTTTCAGAATAAATACCACATCTGTACAAGAAGTAGTAATGATGGTGATCACAATTTGTGGTGTCATCATTATGACTAATTCTCTGTTTATTTAATAACACAGAGAGAGTGAATGATAAATGTAACGGTGATATCAGGCATATAATACTACCCCAGTATTTGCCTCAAAGGACAAGAAAACCATGAAAAACCTTGATCAAGAAAGGTACCTCCCAAATATGAAGCAAGAGTGCTAACTAGTGTATGTATCACAATGTTTGGTGCGATCATGCAGAAACTATAATGGAAAGACTGTTGGTAATCTGTGAAATCAAACAAATACAATAGCTAAACTAAGGAAGCTAACATATTTGTTTCAAAGATTCAATGATATTGATATTTTTATAGACAAATTTTCTTTGGACATAGATGTATGAACAGAATATACAACAGATGTTTCTCAATTTCTGTCTTTTTTTAACCACTTGTATAATTCTAAACCATTAATATACACAAATTGGATCCTACTTTAACATGTTTCTATATTTCATCAACTACCATAATAGTACACTTTCATATTAACAGACAGTAATAATGATACCATCACTTAACCATCTCAGTGACCTTGAATCCTGCCATTAATCTAATTGATAACCTTTACTTAAACCTTTGAATTTTTTACTAAAACACTTAACAATAAACTGAGCAGAGCATGATACATACCTAGCCCAACGTAGAAGCGTGACTGGCAAATCCATCATAATGGTGGATGTTAGATGTAGTTGATTGTTACGACACTGGGCTCCTTGCAACTTCAAACCTGAAAGATTGATAAAAGAGATGTCTACCTAAAGAAAGACTAGCAAGAACAGACTATGAACCAAGGCAAGGCTCATTGGTTTTAAAAATTATGCAAGCTCTAACCTGCGTTACTCTTTCTGTAAGTAGCTGAAAATATCAAATTTTTGTCTTACTTCCAACAATAAAAATTACAATCTCATTTACATTTAACAGTATTACCAGTCACTTCAGTAGACCATAACCACAACCACAGAAATAACCTATCTGCTTTACTGGGTCTCCATACAACAAAGATATATGTTTGTATCTTATATGCGTCATGTTTGTGTTTGATTAAATATATTTATTTTGACGGTATTACCCGTCGAAACATGTCATTTTAATAAAAGCGCTAAAAAAAATATAATGTAAAATCGTATTTACGATTAAGAGCACTAATATAATATTTTACACAACAAAATGTTTTAATATTATATAATTTTTACAACACCAATAAACTTCAAACGTTTGTGTATAGACTGTACAAAATAAATATATTTAAAGATATATGTATTAGATAATCAGGTGTGCGACCATAACTTCCTGGTCCCTGGGCTTTGGCATTCCTCACACTCTCCAAGTTCTTGAAGGTGAGGACCAAGGTTCAGAAGCCACAATATTTGCTAATCCATACCTGATATCTTAGCATAAAATACCAAAAATTTGTTGCTCATCTTTTACTTCTGTATATAATTCCTTACGCACTTACCAACAACTCCAAAACTACAGTCATCCATGATGGCTTTCTTTGTATCCACCCCTCCATCTGTGATGGTCACATCCAGCATGAGCTCCTCAAGAGACCAACTATTAGCCTGGGCAATACATTGCCGTGTTGCAGTTATGTAGGCTTCAGGATTGAGCAGTCCACCCAACCACACATGAAATGTCTAAAGGTGAAACACAGAAGATATTATGTATAGAAAAATAACTGCAAAGTTTGATGCCAACACCATGTGCATTACTTTCAGTCATAATACCTTAAGTTCCTTTGCTCCTCCCTGTGACACCAACAATGATACTTCCTGTAACTGTTTCACTCGCTGACTGAAGTCAGTGATCCATTGAATGACTGTGCAACCGCGCGGAACTGTGTAACGTCTCCAGCTAGGTGGAAGGATTCCTTTCACTAGATCATTCAGCATAGTACGATGGTAGTTCGTCTGTTTCTTCTCTCCCTAAGGTAATAAGAACAAACATTTCCACCACTTCTTTGCACGGAAATAATTAAAATATTGGTCTTTAGCACAAGAAAGAACATGAATTAAGGACATTTGAGAACAGGGTGTTGAGGAGAATATTTGGAGTTAAGAAAGAGAAAATAACAGAAGGATTGAGAATATTTCAATTAACAGCTCTGTAATATGTATTCTTTGCCAGACATTAACAGGGTGGTTAGAACAATGAAATGGGTAGGACATATAGCATACATAAGTGAAGATGATAAATGTATACATTTTTCAGACACACAACTGCTTGTTTACTAACCTGACAGATGAGTACTACATCTTCTAAATCATGAATTACATCCTGAAGCAGCTTAGCTCCAGAGTTGACCTCACGCTCAAAGTAGCGGTACAGCGGATCTTTGATGTTCTCAACCGTGCGTCGCAAAGTCTAAAACAATGGTGAAGTTGTCAATGTACTTAAGTATCACATCATTATGTCCGTAGTTTGGAGGTAAAAATTTTGCATACTCTTTGCTTTGGCACTAGATGGAGGTAGTCAGTGCTGTGCTTGAGTACCCATTGGAGAGAAGGCTGCAGGAGATCTACATGGTTCCAGATGAATGTGTAATAAGGATAAAAATCCCTTGTCAAGTTTTACATTACACAATGATGGACATAACATGAGACACTGTTGAAATGCAGGTGAAAGAATTGTTTTCTATTAAAAATATCAGTATTTAGCTTCCTAAGCAATACAAGGTAATATATTTGTTAGGGGATTAAATATATTAATGAAAGTTTCAACTGTATTCACAAATTGAGTTCATTTGGTATATATTTTAACAAACTCTGCGTCACAAATTAAAATACCTTCCTGTGTAAAACTTTTACGCGATACTTTACTTGTTTGTGGTTATTAATGATACTAGTACCTCAAATCATACAGTGTTAAATGATGGTTTGATTAGTCCATCAATGAAATTGAAAGAACTTAGAAGAAAACTGTCACAATCTAATTTAAGGCACTATCCTGGCTGTCCTTTAACACACCTTACAAATCATAATGGAACATAGAAACAAAACATACTAGGTTTGCCTAGTACACAGATACCTATCAGAACATACGAACATAATCTGCTACAGGTTACCTGAAGAGATTTTGGAAGGAGCTGGAGCCAGGTGGATGCAGAATTATGCAATGTCCTCATCCACGATGGCCGTCCATCAGCCTCCTGTACATGTGGCTGGCTGAGTCCTTCCTCTGCTGAATATGCTAGTTCATCATCATCTTCCAGCTGCTGCATCTTAAGCAATTTCCCTACTAAATCTGTGCCTGTTATAAAATGTGGAATTCATTTTCAATTAGTCCCAAATATTACTTTGAACAATCTTTCCTAATACTAGGCAGAAACCCAAAATATACTGAATCACAAAAAATGCTTAATTTTATAAAAACCTTTAATCATTATCTCTGAAAATAAAAAGAGGTATTAAGAATGCCACTAGTAAAACAACAACAGTTACCAGAAGTATTTTTTGATGTAATGTTCACTTATCCATATACATTTATCTAAGAATATATTTAGGCTTATGTAGCTAATATGAACTAAAACTGATTGTTCTTAATGAATTATTAAGACTCTCAACACATAATTCCAATAAAATCTATTCATCCACCAGAGCTGCTGTTTTTTTATATTCATGTGTACATTACGTAAGATAGACATGGTGAAGCTAATAGGTTAATAGCTGTGAAAAAATTACAAACAATGAAAAGTCAAAATTTATGGCAACGTTTGATGCCGAATTAAGAGTACACATAACACCGTTACCACACCACCATAATGTTCATCATCAATATAAAGAATTTGAGTACCTCTTGTTGTAAGCAAGACTTTTTCTGCATTGTTGGGGAGGCCCAGCCATGACGGAGTTTGCCTATCAGCTAAAGACTCAATCCAATGTAGGAAATGATCTCGTCTTGTTCCATCTGGCATAGTGATATGCCTTTGGCCTCCTGGACCACCTGCTACACCATCCACATTTGCTACCAGAGCAAAATCAGACTCAAAACTATGTGGTGTGAAAAGTTTTGCCAAGAATGAAGCCAACAGACGCTGATCAAAATCATTGTCAATCTTTCCACCATAAATACACTGGGATAAAAGAGTTACCAGGGCATCCCATGGAACTTTTTCTGGTGGCAGGTTGGTGCGGCCCTGAAAACGAAGTACACAGTGGGAAATAAACTACAAGCAAAAACAAAAGTATTATGTTGTTCCCTTCAGAACAAAAGAATGTTGTATAGCAAATTCAGTACTTATTACTACACCACAATAACTGTGTAATAAAACAATGAAATTAAACAGCAAATACAGTGAAACCTCTATCCATCGTTCCCGGAACTATCGTTTTCCCGGATGCATCGTCCGTTTTGTTCGGTCCCGAATACATCCCATATAAAATAATGTTACATTTTCCCGCTTCTATCGTTCCTCGAACTATCGTTTTATCGCATCGATCGTTCAAAAATCGTAGTCCCGGCCCACAATTTTCCCGCAATGATCGTTCCTGAGAATTTAAAATGCTGGGTTTAGAGATAAATTAATACCGAAAGACGCACAATGTTTTTGGAATAAACAGTAGCGGTAACCTGTTATGTCGCCCAACCAGCACATTCTTTTGGAATGAGGGTCAGCGGTGCAGGGGTGATAGTTGGAGTGAATGGCGGTGCCCATTGTCAGAAATTTTACGATTTTAATTAGGGTGCACACATATTTCGTTCCAGCGATGCCAGATGGCATGTGCAGTGTGAATTTCTTCACAAATGCTTTTATTATAAGTACAAAGGAAAGACGGGCGGCACTTTTCATTCTTCTGGTTCATCTCGTTTCCAGCGGTTCTGGGTCTTCTACAGCTACGTTTCGTTGAGTTCGGCAGTAATAGTATGAGGCTCGTCCTTAAAGTAAGTTTCCCTGGGGCCGTTTACAGAAACAAAACACAATTTCATGGAAATATTTATTGCAACAGATACAGCAAGTGTCCAGCTATTTTTCAACATATTCGCCACCGGAATTGAGACATTTGTCATACCGTGGGACCAACTTTTGAATACCTGTGTCGTAGAAGTCGCCCGCCTGGGATTGGAACCACTGTGTGACAACCATCTCCGCCTCTCTGTCATTCTCAAAACGCTGACACTGACCGGACAGGAATTTCTTGAGGTGTAGGAAAAGATGGAAATCACTGGGAGCGAGATCCGGGCTGTAGGGTGAATGATTAAACACCTCCCAGCGGAACTCCTGCAGTTAACACCCATCTTATCGTCATCTACAATGGAAATGATCCAAACAAAACTTAGTCATTTTAATACATAACTGAATGTTCCACACGTAGAACTGTCATTGTTTTAATATTGATATTACTGACATCAGAAATTTTAAAAAATATTAATTTATTGCCTCCTTTATTTAAGTTAAAATATGCCCATCACATATAACTTCTGAACTGAAGCCATCTAATTTAAACAAAGTAACAAGAGATAATAGAATTTTAACACATTTCTACAAACATACTTACCATGGCAGTGGATTCAATCCATGTGTCTAGGGTATCACAAGCTACCCGGAGATCAGATTCGTTGAATTCATAATACTTTGCCCATCCCAGGGGTACATAACGCAGACGCTCCTGGACAATAGCATGGAACCATGCAAGCAGGAAATAAAGTCTTGCACGTTCATTTGGTGCCTTCATCATGCGAGAGGCAGGAACCTGAAATATAGGTAGAAATCTTGGGGTAGTACCTTATAATATGCCATGATCACTTCCTTCCTAATTCATCATTCACTATCATTCCCATATTCAACACTATACAATCTACACAGATTAGGAATAAATGAAAACATCATCACCTTTTGCTTTTTACTAACATAAGACAATACTATAATTCACTTGTTCCCAGTATCAGTATGGTCAGTTCTTCAAATCCATTACATTTAATATATGAAGGGATTATAAAGTAACCCAAAATACATTTTGTATTCTGTACCAATACGAAAGTTATTGAATTTCCTGTACTAATGTCAGGCACCATATTTGATTAACTGTTTAACTATGCTCAGTGAAGAACATCTTATACATATCTTTGATACAGAGAGTCTACACCACTGGACTACAAAGAGGTAAAAGGAATGTAATATTCATTTTAGTATATTTACTCACAGTACTGAAAGTTCGCAGCAAATTTGCTCGAATACCAGGAGGTGGCTCAAAGACAAAGATGCGTCCAGCTCTAAGTAAGTTCACTGGAACCTTTGGATTTATCTCCATGGTGAGGAAGAGTCGGAAAGCAGCATGAGGCTGCAGACTGTGCAGTTTCTTCTCCAGTTGCACCAACCACTGTGGTGCCAGATGCACATTCTTCAGCAGCACCCACCTACATAATAATAATAATAATAATGACATGCCAGCTAATAGCCTTAATTAATTTTAGTTCCGTAGTTCTTTTACTTATTCTGTTGTCATTTAATCTGTCGTAGTTCACATAGTAAGTAACCTTATTTATAAATTAATTCAAAAGGTTTCTGTCAGCGGTGTATTACAATCTGCTGCCCCATTATCAGGGCAAAGATGGACGAAGCAATTATCTCTGAAACATCAGTAAACTTCTACAAGATGACATGGCACTACAACCCCGAAGACAGTCTCTTCATACCTGCCACAGTTAAACCTCAAATCTCGCAATATTTACCTTCTCTGCACGTAAGTATGTTCCAACAGTAAACAAAAGTATGCCACAACTAGAAAATATGTATTTTGTAATCCAGAGTCCTACTTCAATCCAGCCTAATCAGAGCTGCATAAAATTATCTTATTAACATCTAATCCATCCAGCATTATTCCACCAGAGATCCATATGATAGAACAGTACACTCTATGACCTTGGAAGGAAATAAGGACAGCAAAGAGTTTCAACTAAATATCTCCTACCCAATCGACAGTTAAACATGACAACAGACCAGAAGGAGTATGTAAATGGACCAAACACACCATCTCACCTTCCTGATTTCACAGCCAGATTTATGGCCCTATCTGCCTGGTTGAATCCTTCGGCAGAGCCTATAGCAATGCTAGCAATAGGTTTTCCCAGCTCAGCAGCCAGATCATCCACACGTCCTGAAGCATCAAAACCTGGTACAGAACACAAGAGTGCAGGCACATTTGCTCGCAATTCAGTCTCCACACTGGCAGCAAGGTCCAGTTCTTTTTCTGCTGCTGGCATGAAGTCTTCACCAAGTACAGACGAAACAAACAACTGAGCTGCAGCAATCACGCGATCTGGCCGGAATGCCTGCAACAAATATGGTTTCCATAATCATAATAAAATGGCACTTACAATATCAATTTCTCTGTTATTAAAGACAAAAAAAAAATCACTATTCCCAAACTGTGTTCTGCAGCTACATTCTCTAATATATGAATTTAACATACATATGAAGGCAGGTAATGTAAAAATGAGTCCTGCTGCATGACAAGTTTCCATATCAATTTTTTATAATCAAATCATTATCCCATGTTCATCAGTTTAGCTATTGTAGGTATGTTCCTGGTCCTCCAGGTTGGGGGTTGATCGCAGGGCTAACAACCTTGCACCGTAAAAAGGAAGATGTTTCGAAACCTCAATCAAAGCCTTGGACAGACGGACTCCGAATGGAAGAGGAGAATTGTGGAGGTCATGGTCCGAATATGGACCGGACAGCCATAGAAGAAGAAGAAGGTATGCACTACTGGTAGTTCCAAAATTTCCCATCCAGATGGCACATAGCAGAAATATCAACATTAAAGTACAACATCCAACCTATAAGTTTACTACTAGCTTTCTACTGTGTTTGGTGTGGCAAATGGTTGCTCAGTACCTGTATGATTAGCAGCTGATACATTGCACTTCCTATTGGGCTCAACTGTTTCTCTTCTTCCCAGAGTTGAGGTACACACTGCTCGGGTGTTCCTTGCTGTAACCACGCTCCAAACTCTGGCATCTCTTGGATTTTCTGCGACAGTTTCTTAAATCCTGGTAGTCTGAATGCACAAAACATACGTATAACATCTATTTTAAGTACAGATATTTGAAAACACCCTAATTATTTAACTAGAGCTCTGGCATGAATACAACTTCTGAATTAAAACATTTCACTTATTTTTATTCATTACACCCAGGAAAGTCTACTGTCTTCATGTGCATTTCATATTAATGCAACTACAGAAATGGAATAATTTTTTGTAAACATATTTACTACTCTTTGAGGCAGACACCAATATACACTGTTTTGTGTTTAGTGTTGTGTTTTTAATGCTATTTTCTGAAAATGAGTGAGAAGAAAAAGAGTGGTGGTGTATGGTGTATCTGTAATTAACAGACCATTTTTATGCTTAGTAAATACCAGTGACAATTTTTCATTCTACACTTCATTCTATCACTTTTCATTTACGTACTATTCCTCCAAGCAACGAATGTACCTCCACACTTACGAACAATAAATTTATTCACAAATGGCATTATGTATTCCAAAAAAAAAAAAAAGAGATAAATTGTGTTTGACATAACCAATGTCTCATAAGAATGCAGATCATGATTAAAATATTTGTCATTTTACATCTGAGATAAAGTTGCAGTCTTACATACAGTAGGGGCCCGCTTTTCGGCGCTCTGCTTTATGGCGATCCGCTAATACGGTGCTCAACAGCTGAGTCAGAGAAGTGCGTCCGGCGCCATTTTCTCGTCGCTGATTCAATCTGTTTACAGCTTTTGTGCGCTCCTTGTCTCTCTGTATTTCTGGCAGTTTTTCCATTATTACAAACTGTATATTTATATAATATTTTTGTGTTACTACAGTTTAATTACAATGGCGTCTAAGGGTAGAAGCGATAAAAAGAGGAGTCGTAAGCCTCTTACTTTAAATGCCACGTTAGAGATGATTAAACTTCGTGAACAAGGCATGTCTATGGCTTCCGAACCATCACCAAAACGAATAAGATTCGTTGAAGAGTCAGATGATGAAGATGCGCCATCTCCTTCATCCTTCCTACTATAAGCATATCAATTTTCAAATTTATATTCACCAATCACTATAAGCTGAGGACAATGTGTGTATTACTGATATTCATTT